CGGTTCGGTAACCACTCGGTTCCGTGTTTGAAATATGTTTCTCTACCGCTCCGCACAGAAGCGGCAAAATAACATTTAGCGCTCATAACAAGCAGATTATCAGCGCTCTGCTCATAAAACAGAAGACCTGCAGGCCTCTGTGAGTTAAAACATCCTGATACTGTTCAGGTGTAAACATTTTGCTGCTTCCCTGTGTTTGAACTCAGAAGATGCTCCTTGATGCCACAGATATGTGATGATTTAGCTTGTTTCTTTATTTTACTCCAGAATAAGAGATTAAATTATTACTAAAGCAGTCCAGTGTAGTTAAATTAGTCATGGTGTGTGTGTGTGTGTGTGTGTGTGTGTGTGTGTGTGTGTGTGTGTGTGTGTGTGTGTGTGTTTGTTACACATATTGGACTGCATGAGACAGCATGTTTTCATCAATCCATGCATCCTATATCTTGGCTGAAGTAATGGCTCAGGAAAATAACTTCTATTTCATAAATAATGACGTCTCTACAGTGTTTATGATAATGTTTTATCTTATCTTTGGTCTGGGAGGTGTAACATATCATGATACAAGCCTTTTAAAACATGTTAATGTGCTACAAGAGGAGATAAATGCATGAATTTAAAACTCATGTTTGGAGACCAACCTTCACAGTTTGGAAGCTCACGCTGGTGAGGAGACTCCATTAGTTCTAGTAACACCTGGGCTCCCAAGGCCTGTTCTGACAGGATGGACGTTACGGGACCCTTAAGGATTCCAGTTGGATGATTGGAGGATTATTTAGGAGGATTGGAATGAACAAACTGGTTTCAGTGGTGAAGGGTTAAATGAGTGAGTGAACCCTCTACCAAGGATGAACTCTGCTAGCTTTAAAAATCAGCTGCTCTAAATAAGCATGAAGGTCAGAGAGGAGCTCTAGGATGGACATGGATAAAGGAACTGTAAAGTGGGGCAGGGCCATCGTTAGCACCTGTCATACGGTCCATTAGAAATGTTTGACTTTCATTTAGCTTGTTATGTGACAGGTTAGAGCACAGTCTCATGTTAGAGTTTTGTCATGAGAACATTGAGATACCTCACATGCTGATGGCATCTAAAAATTAACAATTCTTTTAAAATAAAGAATAATTTTAATCACAATTGAAACATACAAGAAAAACCTCATCCAATCAATGTGCGCATCCTGTTCTCACTGATTGGATAGAAATCCCTCCGTCAAACTGTGTTTGTTTCTGTGTGTGCGTGTGTGTGTGTGTGTGTGCGTGCATGTGTGCGTGTGTGTGCGCGTGTGCACACTAGAGCGTGTTGTGGTTTTGCACTGATGTAACCATCTTTACGCTGACAAAAATGTAACTAAGTAACTTTTACTTTGAGTACATTTTATTTACAATACTTTTTACTTTTACTTGAGTAAAAATTTAGGCAAGTACTTTTACTTGTACTTGAGTAAAAAATTATCTAAGTATCGGTACTCATACTTAAGTAGGACATTTTAGTACTCTTTCCACCTCTGGTAGCCAGTGCCAGTCGGGCACCATCTTGCGCATCCTCCAATCAGCTTAAAATATTCTACCAGTGATGGCAGCATGTTCTCCTTCAGTATATTCAATTCAGTTCAATTCTATTCAAAAATACTTTATTAATCCCAGAGGGAAATTGATTGCTGTAGTAGCTCAGAATAATAATAATAATCAAGTCATCAAAGAGTTATTGTATGTTACAATGGCTGTTGGCAGGAAGGATCTCCAGTAGCGGTCAGTGTTGCAGCGAAACTGAAGACGCCTCTGACTGAAGACACTCTTCCGCTGTCGGACAGTCTTGTGAAGAGAATGCTCAGGGTTGTCCATCATTTTCTTGATTCTCTGGAGAGTCCTTCTTTGCATTATCTCCTCCAGTGGTTCCACAGTCCACCACACAGAGCAGTACATTGTTGAGTTCATGATATCATCCATGAAATGCAGCTCCCCAACACCAGCAGCACTCATGCAGCCCCACAAAAGGACACCGCCACCGCTATGACTATCCAACTTGCAACTTCAAAGTTGCTGGGCCAATATCTGCTGGTGGGGAAGCTGTGGAGTGGAGCTGACATGTTGTAGCTACAGATGATCATAATGATGTTTTTGTGTAAATTGTTGGTTAAAAAAAATCAAGGCAGTCATTTTGAACATTGATACCATACCATGACACATAATATCACGGTATTTCAGAGTATCAATATTTTCTTACATCTCTATTTTCTAAAAAAAAAATATTTTTTGCCCAATTGGACTTTATGCAATTTAAAAAAGAAAGTATTTCAGTTATTAAAATACTTATTTAAAAGTGTGAGGTAAAAGCCACATGTTTAATTTCAACAGTTCAAACAATAGATGTTAGCATTACTTAAAATGATTAAGTAAAATAATGATCGGTAACAGTTATAGCATTAATATGTCTCTCCACTCTGCGTGTGGTCTGCTACAGTAGATCTCCTCTGTGGCCTGGTTTTTATTAACTGGCCCATTAGTCTGGCACTTGGTGATACATGACACCGGTGTGTCTCTCTCTCTCTCTCTCACACACACACACACGGTCAAACAGGCAATGTTGTTTCAGACACTCCAAAAAATTCCGAGAACTCGTTTTTGGAGGTGAACACATGAAGCAAGATGTTGGTCAGGTCATAACTTTCGTGTGGGTCGTTTCCTCCGGCTTCTAGAAGTTTAATGTTTAATCCGTCATCAGTCCGGGCAAGAGTGTGAAAAGATGGAGAGAAGCTAAAAAAAATGGTCAGAGGTTTTTGGCAGGCTTTTAAAAGTTAATGGGGTGTGTCAAACTTCAGCGGAGGATGAAACACATCACAGCGTTTGTGTTTAGCTTTGAAATCCAAACTAGTCGAAACTTTGCTTTTGAGGTTTGATTTAATGATAACTAAAGTGGTGAAAATGTGCTGTGGAGTTTTGTGACTGTTGATGCATAGCTGAGAGGATTTTTGACTTATTTAGGATTGCACAGTTTAATTTACGACTGAATGACACATCCCAAAATACACATTACTGCTCCATGCTGCTGCTTTATCACTGCTTATCCTATTTTGTTTCATTTTTGTACAATATGACCTGAAGTATGCTGTTTCATGTGAGACGTCCTACAGAATGTGACATAAAAGTCATAGATGGCAGTTTGTTTAAAATGCCTAAAAGTAAATGTAATTTTATTCATATGAAGATTTTGTGGTAATTAAGGGACCTGCTGCTACTTCAGCAACCAGGGCCCTTATTGTTATGCACCTGGGGAGTTTTTGACATTAATCGCCTTTATTATTATGCTTCTTCCGCGGACATTAATGCGGCTCGAACGGCAGCGTGCACCCCCACCAATTATACATCATAACGAGCTGCTCGGCGGTGGGAGGTGTGCTATTACTTTTCTAAGCGATCCAATTCACCATGGTGAAACTATTAGCAAAAAACATCCAAAAATGTCCCAGTTTTAGGCAGATTGAGCTACCCTTTCAAACTCTGAGTGTGGTGCATAAACACTATCTTGTGCCTGACAGGTCCCTTTTTAAAACTTCTTCAGGTATTTTCTAAGTACATATGAAGTCAGATTTAAAACAGGGAATTTTAATTACATTTTATTGTTGTGTTGCGTTCGTTTCAGGATGTTTAAGGAAATTTGCGTCTTGTTTTTCGGCAGCAGGATGTTCAGCCAGCTACCGATTCAAAAAGCCATTATTTTTGCAGAAGTATGATGTGAATGTTCTCTGTCGTTTGTTTCATCGGTTCCTGTCATTGTTTTTCTCATTTGAACCTACACACCTGTAGACCGTCATTTCCTCTTGTATTTGATGCTGAAGCTTGTTCTCCACTGTCTCCTTAACACTTAACCAGCCCTCTGACAGTAAGGTCAGACACGCAGTAGAACACGTTTTAGTTCCTGCATCAAGTAAACAAAGCTAAATTAGTTTATTAAAGAAGTTCTATAAAAAATTAGGATGTTTGAACAAAAAGTAGAATATTTTACGTGACCTTGACTTCTTATTATTATGTTTGCATTATTTTATAACCCTCTTTGCCCCAAATGAACAAACAAAAATTATTTTGTCTTGATTTGGACATTAAAGGAATATTGATGCTTTAACTGTCACTATTAATAGTAAAACATTTCACCATCCTTCCTGATTACACTTCAGTTGACACTCCATTTATGGCCATCTTTTTAGCCTACTTCCCATAATTTTTCTGGAATTGAAAAAACTACAGTTATTATGTTTGACATCACATTACTCCCCGTACTGCTGCCAATGAGAAAGCAGTTTATATTAGTTGCCATACCCATGGCTGTGTCTCAATTCAGGGTCTGCATCCTTCGAAGGACCCAGCCCACCCGGCCGACGTGGGCTGCGTCCTCCGTCGGCCGGGTAGACCGGATGTTAACGGCTGTGAATTTGGACAGGCCTAGCCTTCATGAATTCCCTCGGCGAACGTTCCGTCGCCTAGCAACCGTGGAACCGCTGGGCAGAAGGAACCTTAAACGATGGAGCTCGACGTTTTATTTAGCTTTTTAACCCCCAGAAACCCAAATTTAGAAAACAACTGCAAAATATTTTTAACCTTTCACATGTTGTTCTAGGAGGCCAGATAAACGGGCCTATTTACACATTTTAACAGCCAATAGTGTTGCAGAACTGAATAGGACCTATTAGCAATGTAAATGTGGGTTTTAAAAAGAAAAAAAATGGGGAAGGTTTATTTTTGTAGACTTAAATCTGATGTTGTGATACTACAACCGTGGGTCTCTGGGGGTTAATCATTTCCTTGACTGTTGGAGAGCTAATTCAGAGAAAATACTTTAGACTAGCTGAGCCTGAGCAAAGATGTGATAATAGTTTTTAATACTTTCTAAGGGTCTTAATTTGACCAAAACCCATTTATCACCTTTTAAGACTTTTCAAGACCCAGCGGATACCCTCTAGTAAACATTTGTAAAATTCTCATTTGTAAACAAAAATAAAATTCAAGAGTTTAATGCAGAACTGATTTTATTTAGATATTTCTTTTACATGTACATGTTTAATCTTCATTAACCATTTTTTTCTAGCAAAGTAAAAAGCTGTCAAAGTTCTTCCTTCTCTCCTGTGCTCTCTGCTGCTCTGCAGCCTCATGTCCTCCCAGATCAGCTCCAGAAGCTCATCGCTGGCACCTTCCCCTGCATGCCCATTTTCTCCAGAATAGTCTTAACAAACATGTAAGAAAAGAAACAGGAAGAGAAAAGAGGACAACGGGTTATTCCTTTCATGTTTTCGCAGAAAAAAATATACTCAAACGAGTTTTTAAAATATGAGATGTTATTGTACCTCCATGCCACAGCCGCCGAATACTTTGCTCCGGTGATCATGTGGTCCATCTCCGCCCTAAGCTTAATAAATTCCCTGGTTTTCTCTTTTGGTCCTAAAATACAAACTTCTATTAAAATCAGGGGGAAACGTAGTGGGAGAAGTACAACACCGAGCGCGGCCGAACATACGAGCCGAGACCGCAATACAAGCACTTTTACTGTAACATTTCTAACTAAAATAACGTTCATGTATCACAAAAAGTCCTTAAACTGACAGTTTTCAAGTTTATACTTACATTTATATGCAGGGACGAAATTTTGATTTCAGAAGTGGGGGGGACACAGCAGGCTTGTGCGGATTTGGGGTGGGGGTGTTATGTAAAGACCCTTTGACACGTCACATGCCCATCTCAATAATTTTTCCATCCTCAATATATATATATATATATATATATATCAAAGTTAAAAAATGTACAACTCTATTATCATTAATATTTATTATCATTATTGAAGTGCAGTTTTGGCTGTTGACAATGGATAGGCCATTGTATTTATTGTTTTGGGTCTTTTTTTATTGTTTTTGGTGCAACATTTTCTAACAGGGAGTGAGATTCTTTTTTTTATTTAATTTTTGTTTGTTATTTTTATTCATTTAGAAGTTCTGGTTCTGGACATTTCAATGTTAAATGAAGGTTTATTTGTTGCATTTTAAAGGGTGTACTTGCATTATTATGATATATTAACATTATATTAGTGGTTATTTTGGTCTAGATAATGTTGACAATGATATCGTTTATCATCAACAATTTGTTGGACAAAATATCGTCCAGCAAAATTTGTTACTTTCCCAGGCCTAGTCAAAAGTATAAAAAGTATTTATACATAAACGGTCCCTCCTGAGATCTGGCCGTTTGTTCATTTGCTGTGTTAGAGGACATGCTGAACTAATGTTTTACACATGATCATCACCCTAACATTTGTCACAATGATCAATTTTATGTCTATCGTATCTTCATTATTTCAACCTCACCTGTGAGCCTCCAGCCTCTGCTCCATCTCCTCCAGGCTCTCGTCCTCCATCTCCTACAGCCTCTCCTGCTGTACCTTCACCGGTCTCTCCTCCTGCATCTCTGTCACTCACCTGAAAAAAAGATGCATGAACTATAAACAGTGGGAGATTTTGGAATGGAACAAACAGAAATATTTACAGGATGGTTCTAGTATGATTCACAATTATTATTAATATAATGTGTAAATTATTCATTACCAATTTGAGTGTATAAAAACATATTAAATATGTTTTTTCCCTTAAAAGTGTTTAAACAGTTGTTGCATTTCAACACACAAAAAATAAATGGAAAAAATAAGATAAATCTAATGAAAAGTGTACATCTTTGACATTAAGCTTAAAAAAATCTGTTGACGATGATGATACTGTTCATTCTTCAGAGCTTTTTAATGTGAACATATACATTGCAATAGATAAGTTTACAATAAAGTTAAATGATAAAAGTTTTGAAGTTACACTTCTACTACTACTACTACTAGTAATAATAATCATGATAATAGTAATAATAATAATAAATAATAATAATTATAATAATACGAATAAATTGTGTCTGAGGAGTCAGTTATGTGGAGGAGATGAGTTTGTAAAAGTTAGTTTTGAGTATGTTTGTGAAGGAGGAGGTGAGTCTGAGCTTAATGCAGGGGTGTCACATGTCCAACTTACGTTTTGACTTTGAAAGAAGTCTCTTATATCCACTTTCGTTTGTTGACATGCTGCCGCCTGGCTGTGCATAACTACCAAAGACTCACAAATGAACACTTATTCAAATGTTATGTAATGGAAGCTGAGCTGAGCTCTGATATTACACAGCGTCTAGTTGACGATGTGACTCAGTACCGGTGTTCCCTAGCGGCTCCAAACTAGCAAAACAACGTGAGCACGTTCTGACTGTTTACAACTTGAGTGACAGCAGCAACAGCCAATAATACGTTAGCAAGTATCAGCAGAGCCAATAGATTAGCTTTTGGGTGGGTCTAATAGGAAACCGGTTTCCGTTTCGGTCCTAGTGCTCAATCAAATCCATTTAATGGAGCGTAATATTGTTTTTGGACGGAAAAAAGTGAAGGGGACCGAAACTGCCTTTTGAAAAAGTGGGGGGGACATGTCCCACCCGTCCCCCCCCAAAATTACGTCCCAGTTTATATGCGCAATCCTCTCCAACAGCTCCCGCTTCACTGTCCGCCATTGTTTTTAAGTTTTTCTGCCGGCCGGCCCGCAAGGCATCTTGGGAAATGCTACCTGTTGAAGGATACACCCGACCCATCCTTCATTCAGGCGAAAAGAAGGCCGCATTCATCGACCGCATTTGAAGGAGTCTTCGAATTGGGACAGGCCGAGTCGCGGCGCTGTGACGTAACCGGCCGACGAATCCGGCCGAGGTAGGATGCAGACCCTGAATTGAGACACAGCCCATGTTACCATCACAGCAATAGAAAATATAGGATTTTTTTCCCCGAATAAATATGAAAGTTCTTTTTTGTTTTTGTTGTTGTTCAGACATGTCATGTGTTATTTTACCATGACACTGCCATGACACCCAGCCCACCTGCCAGGTTAGCCACGCCCACTACTGTCAGATGGGCTCTGGAGGCGGAAAAGCCAGGCGTATGAGAGCTACTCACAGTTGATTGTCCACGCTTTTGATTTAGACTTTAAGGTTTCATTGACCTGCTCAGGCTAAGCTCAGTCTAGCCGTGACAATTTCTTAGCTTTTATGCTCTTGTGAACCACCTTGTTGTCTTTTTAATCACTGAAAACGTCTCGTATGCACTTACGGACACACACACACACACACATACACACACACACACACACACACACACACACACACACACACACACACACACACGCTGAGAGTCTGGGGGATTGAGCAGTAACAAACAGCACATTGTGCTGCAGATGCTAAACTGGACTTCACCCTTCCTGCCATCGACCTCTGGTATGGGTCTTGTCTCACTGTACTGATTACCTGGAATGTGAAGTGTGTGTGTGTGTGTGTGTTAGCTTTGATAGTGGCATACTATGTTGCATGTGTGCATCTACACAGTAAAACTACAAATGTTTGTCACTCAGAAATCCATCATCCAGGGTTCATTGGCCTACAAGGCAAACAAGACAGGGATCTGATTGTGTGTGCGCGCGCACACACACACACACACACACACACACACACACACACACACACACACACACACACACACACACACACACACAGAGCCATAAAGCAAATAAATAGATTCTAATCGGGTGAACACAGGGGGGTAGAGGGGAGGAGGTGAGCTTGTTTAGGCTTTCCAGCAGAGTTAACCTTTCACCTTTTAGGAGCAGACGGGGAATGTTAGGAATCTGCTCACATGGAAGTGCACACACTTTGATGGAATGCGTAGGAGATACGAGTCACCAGGAAATCTTTGAAGCCGGCCGAGGAGCTAGTGTTATTAGGAGTCTGCCGTTGTACGGTTGGTTAAACGTTAACACGGGTAAAATCAGACGCTCACACCTCTTCATGTTTACTCTGCAAGTTTCTCGTCTAGCCACGGTGTCGATAAACCAGCGCTACACGCTTTGCTGTTGGTAAACACGCAGGCTACATGCATTAGTCATGCAATAAAAGGGTTTTATGTCGGTTAGAGGTCAGAGGTTGATACTCTGTTCACTGGAGGAAGATTTGCTCTCAAAAAATCTTTAGATTAGGAAGAAATTCCACTTTCAGTGACTCACTGGTTGATGTTTTCAACAGCAAACAGAACACTTAGCTGAAGTTAAATAAAGCTTTGACCACTTGGTCTAAATTTTGTTGTGCCCTTCAGATAAAAGCATAAATTTTTCTACTGAAGAACTAAATATCAATTTTTTTTATTTGACATCTTTATACACTTAATAAAACACAAGGAATTGTAATATAAATTTTATACCAAGGCTAAGAATATTGTCCAGATTTAAAAGATTGTCACAGAATAAACTACGCAGACTATTACATTTATTGTTGACTATTTTGTTTGTCAACATTGTTGTGATGAATAGACAAATCGTGGCAGCATTAGTTGGAATACATCAGAGACACTTAACAGAAGGCAGGAACAACAGGGAGGGGGTATATCACTGGAATGGTGACCATTAGCAATTAGTTATTTCCATAAAACTGTAAGAAAATATGCAAATTTTCAGTTGGAATACTTCCTAACTTGTACATTCGACATGTTTGCTAGAAGTTTCCTACATGCCTGCATCATGTGGGATAAATTATGTAATTGTAAAACAAATAGTGGCAGCTGTGTAAGTCTCCTTTTAGTCTTGAAATGTCTTAGTTATCATTGTTAACCATCATTTATTTAGCAGTTTGGTGCCCAACCTCCTCCCAAAGTTGTCTCACACTTTCTGACAAACTGAAACTAAATTGAGACAGGTTTGAGATGGGTTCGCAGGGTATGAGATGATGCGGCAGAGCAAGGACCAACAGTCTGCCGTGAGCTTTATTGGATGGGAGAAGATGCAGCAGTAGCACTGCTGCTCAGTGAGAAGAATAGGAAGCTGTGTGCTTCATGTTAGAGTTTCCACAAGCAACACTGCTCACGCCCGCTTAGCATTTAGAAAGGACATCACAGCCGTCTCCATGCAACTTAAGCGCAGCCCGCCTATGTCCTGCCCATGTCCGTGTTCCTGAGAGGGCTGTGTAGACACAACTTGGCGGCGCAGCGGTGTGCGGTCCACACCCAGCCCAGGCCGAGCTGACCAGATAGTAAATTTGAGTCTGAGTTGAAAGTTGAAATCAACTCCATTAAGTCTCTGAGCTGCCAATGTAGGTAGTCACAGAGCTGAAGCAGTTTATATGTGTAAGATTCAGCTGGCCTTGCAGCTTTAGTGTCTGGATCTTATGGTATAAGGTTCCAATTTATACCTTGTTATGAAAATAGGTGTTTTTGCGTTTCTTTGGTTTCTTCACACGGATTTTTAGTGATGTCTGAATAAGACTGGATAGGCCTAAACTTAGCCACAAAGTGCTGAGTGGTCTGAGATACTGAAGGAGGGTTTCAACTGTCTTACAGAGTCCATTCATTGATTTGTCACTGCCATTTTGGTGGCAGGACAATGTACAGATGATTGGCTGGGTGGTTCTGTCACTCCAGATCATTTCTGTTCATCAACTTGCTCAAACAATGACTACGTTTACATGCAGCCAATATCCGGGTTATGATCGGGTTAAGGTCGGTATTCGGGTTTCTGAGTTGATC